AGAAAAGACATTATTCAATTATAAAAGCACTAATAAACAGGCCACGTTGTACAGTATCTTAAAGACCTCATGGCACCTTAGGCAACCTATTGACTCACTCCAAAAAAAGAAGGTGTACTTGTTTTAAAGTGAATAAGAGTAAAAGAAGGAAGGAACGTGAACTACTTTTCATTGTGACACAGCACTCACCGCCACACCACAGCACACAATGAAATGTGACCTCTGCATTTTTCCCCAAAGTGAGCAGGGGGCAGCTTAAGAGCAGTGTGTGGGGGACATGACTATGCTCAGAGAACTTCAGTGGTAAATTAGCAGCTGGTAGACTCGAACCTGAAACCTTAAGTTTACGTGCTCTTTTCATGTTGAACCAGCTGCCAGTATGGGTTCTAAGCAGACACCCTATCCACATTAAATGTAAAACTTGAAACATTTCTCTGCATAAAGCTTATAAGTAAGGCCATGTACAAACCAGTGAAACAACCAATGTCAAGAACAGTTACATGACATGTGACACGGTCAGAGAACAGTATATCAGAAAACAGTTAAAGAAATCTGTAAAACCACACAACAACCAGCCTTCTTAATAGGGTAAAAGAAAAACACACGAAATGGCCACTAATGAAACAATAATGCTTAAATGTCTCTATCAGTGAGGATAACAGTGAAAGAACCAGCGAAATAGTTCCACAACCTGTGAAACAACCAACAAAACGTTCCATTATGATACACTAAAAAATTCACTAAAATGGATTCATTTGGTTTTTTTTTTTCCTCACTGAACTTGCTCAAATGAAAAACAGACCGACTTGGGCATCCATGTCCACTAATGAATCACAGTCCCTGCAATTAAAGTAAATTAGCAGCCAATTATAACCTCAGAGGGATGGGGGTGCGGGGGGTGGGGGCAACAAACACACAGACAGAAGGAGACGCACCGATAAGAGCCGACGAATCGACACAGAGACAGGTACTTACTTCAGGAGACAGCCGTCCTTGTTTTCATTTCTCAGTATAAGACACAAAAGACATGGGAGAAAGTGAGAGAAGCTGCTGACCGGGGCAATAGAAAGAGAGGGGTGAGCGAGCAGCTGTAATCCATTTATTGTGAACCACGCATTGTTCTGAGAGGAGGGGCAAAAAGGAAATTCACGCCCAGGGAGAAAGAAAAAGAGAGAGGGTGGGCGGTTCAGTGAAAATTGGGGTGGGCGTGGCCACATAAAAATAGTACGGTGGGGGTGGTCAGCTTCATTAATATTTAATCACCTATTTGGGGCGTGAAGTTTATAAAGAGAGCAGGAGAGGACAGACAGACAGACGGACAGACGGACAGATTCGGAAACCCTTATCAACTGTCTTTTTAGGCACAAGCATCCTCGGAAACCCTCATCAACTGTCAACTGTCTTTTTAGGCACAAGCATCCAGGTTTTGACCAGGACGTTTTTTGTTTTTTTTTTTGTGAAACATCATCCAGAACCTACATAACCTTCATGTTCTCACCTTCTGCATTCTGATAGAAAATACAGAAAAATGAGATTCAAAAATAAACTTGTTTCCTCCATCTCTGTGGAGCAGCTGGAGGTGGGACAGCATGGTCCCTCAGCTGCTTTGATTCCCCTTTATCAGCTGCTGCAGTGGAACCTTGACTAATCCCACTGAGACCAGTGCAGGATAGGAAACAGCTGGTGAGCTCACAGCCGCGAAACATCAAAGAAGAACATCCGATAAGTTCTTCCGTGTGCTGCGCATATATCTGTTGTTCCATCTCTCCCATCGTCGTACCTCTGACCCCACACACACTTCTCGTAAAAAACGAGAGATTTAAAACACGTTCGTGTTTTTGTGTGTGTCAAAGCTTAGCTGGGAGTGTTTGTCCACCTCTTATCGAGCGTCTCATGTATTATTAATTCTCACACATTTACACACCGCCAACAATGCATGGATCATTGAATGTGGATGTGTGTGTGTGTGTGCGCGCGCACACACAACTCAGGCTGCGTGCTTTCTCTTTGTGTGTGATTGATGTGTCCTTCTGTGTCTGTGTGTGTGTGACAGCTGGTGGACCGGTGTGATGTGGTTTAATGTTTTTGCATTAAGTCTGTTTGAAAAAAAAAAAAAAAAAAACTGAGGCCATTGTGATCTGTTGGAGCAATAAACCTGGACACTGCTGAGTCCACCGTGTCTAAGTCTGTCCACTTGTCACTGCTGCAACACTTTGCTGCTTTTTGTGCTTCTCCTCCGCTGAGCCTCATCAGGGTTCAATACTGGTTACACTTAACCCTTTCACGCATGACGGTCACTACAGTGGACAGCTATTAAAATGTCATTTTCTATGATAAGAATAGGTTTTGATGGCAGTGTTGCATTTAATCCTCTACAATGGACGGCGTAACATAAACGCCACCCCTGCCAGCAAAACCTTTTCTAATCATAGAAAATGCCATATTGATAGCTGTCCACTGTAGTGACCGTCATGCATGAAAGGGTTAAATGATGTAGATTAGATTAGAATTACATCGTAATGAGAGCATGAACACTTAACACTTGTTAACAATATTTTAAAGCTGTGGCTCAAACACTATTCTTAAAAAAAAGAAGTCCATAGAGGCAATCAGGAATCACTGTCAGACAAGAGTTGCTGGTAAACTATCTTTTTTGTGGTCTTATTTGAATTTGATTAATTTGGTGAATGGAATGTTGCTTGAGTTATTGTCATTTTTTTTTTTCTTATTTTAATTTGATTCATTTGGTGAATGGAATGTTGCTTGAGTTATTGTCATTTGCAGTACTGAACATTTTCAAGACACAGTTAAAAGCTTCATATATACAACTGCTCTGCGCTTTTTGTTTTTTTAAATCACAAAGTTTCAGAAATTAATCTTTTTGAGGAGGTTATGTATTACAAACGTGCATAGGTTATCCCAGTTGTTTTTGAGCTACAATGAATTACTGATGGGGTACATACATTGTGTTTAAATTTGTAACTTGTAAAGATTATTTACTTCAAATTTTTTCTGTCTTGCGTTCGTAAAATGTTTAATTAGTGCCACGGTCCTAAAGTAGCCTGTAAGCATTTTGTAGTCTGTTATCCAATACATACATACTGTATGTCATAATGATATGTACCATAATTTCCGGACACATACTTTGAAACCCTGTAGCTTAATCAATGATGCAGCTAATCTATGGATTTTTACAGGCTAGCGAAGTTCATACCGCTAGCGATCAATGACTTTTCTGGTAGGCTACTGTATGTTATACTAGTAGCGTATGTCTAGTCTGTGAATGGCTATGTGCGTATATGTACATGGGACGCACGCGAGAGAAAGAACGGCAGAGAAAGTTGAGAGCAGTTTGAGTCCTGTCATGTTGAAGTGTGAGTTGGTTATACAGGAGCTGTATAACCAACCAATGTCTGTTTATGTTCTGTTGTGGTCGGTGGGGCTGATAATAAAGACCCCAACTTCTCTGTTTCTGTTTAGCTCAGCACAAAGTGAAGGGAGTTAGCCCCGGAGCTAATGTTAGCTAATGTATAGGGTGCGGCCTATATTCAGGTGCGCTCAATAGTGGAAACTGCAGTTATAATAATATAGCAATAGTTTGTTATTGTTTTTTTTTTTTTACAATAAAATATTCTGCATTACTAGTCTGCATACCAATCCCTCTTCTACTACCTCTAATAGTAATATTAACAACAACAATCTGCTTTTGTTCCGCTTTTTTTTTGCAGACATATAATATAATATAATATAATATAATATAATATAATATAATATAATATAATATAATATAATATAATATAATATAATATAATATAATATAATATAATATAATATAATATAATATAATATAATATAATATAATATAATATAATATAATATAATATAATATAATATAATATAATATAATATAATATAATATAATATAATATAATATAATATAATATAATAAAAAACAATAGTCAAGATTTTAGGGTGTGGCACATTTGTGTGCGTTTTTTAGGGGCTGAAGCTTTTAAAAGGGACAAAAGATAAAGGACGCGTGAAGAGGCTTTAAAGGAGGAGGAGGAAAAGGAGGAGGACAAGTGAGTGTTGGGGGAGAAATGAGGTGGTGAAAAGGGGGGGTTATAACGCTCCACCACTGCTTAAAGTGAAACCAACCCACCGGGCACGCCGGATGAGCGTCTGGGGAGGGGAGGACGAGGCAAAGGTGACAAGCAGTAATTGGGAGGCAATGAGAGGATGTTTCACACCTCGACATCAAAAAGGGGTCACAGGAGGAAAAAAAAAAAAAAAAGACAAAAGATATATGATTTTAACAAAATACTAGACTAAATAATAAATAAATGCAAACTGGACTGAACCAGACTAAATATGGCAAATTGGACTACATCAACTGGACTAGGGATAAACAAACCACATGACTATTAAAACCATTTTGGAAAAAAAAAAAAAAAAAACGAC